GTGTCAGCTGTCATCTGGCATTTTAATCCAAGACACAATTAGTTGAGCACAGTCATATCCAGATGCTAATACTTGATGAAAGTAACACTGCAATAATTCACAACTAGCTGAGGTGTGGCTTCCATGAGAAAGGCTTCTCATGAGACTCTGCACACACCTGCCTAGAAAATCCTCCTCAAACACTATTAAAAGACTCATCTATAAAAGCACAGGATTTCCATCAGTCCTCAGGGACTTACACATCCCCAAAGATGAGGTGCGCTGTCAGGAAAACCTGTCACATCATTTTGGATGTCAGTCAGCACCTAAAAAGTTGGAGGGAGGGAGGTACCACTGTTTTAACCTATCACTCTGGAACATATTTACTCTAACTAGATGCAAGAAGTGCTTGAAGAGGCTGCCTGCACAGAAAGCCAACTAAAATATTGCTAACTTAGTCCTGGGATTTATTCAGTTGTCTGAGTTTAAATCAGTTTTAGAAGCAACTCAAGTGAAAAGGATGCAAAACCTTTTCAACACTCCTAGTCTCATTTAAAGCTTGTTGAGCTTGATACTGATTTAGCTTAACTCCACATCAAACTGGTGTTCACACAGGAGTCTATTTAACAGATGCATTAACTCCTGACATAGACCTACAGGCAAAACAACCTGAAGGTCCATCTACCTTCACATTGTGCTAAAAGATTTCTGCCCTGACTCCAGTAAAAGGATGAAGCAATGAATTTGTAAGAGGTTTCCACACTACTGTAGAAATATTCGTTTTTCTAGAACAGTCTCTTCAAAATAAAATGAAATTGAAGCACACCTACTAACTGGATGTTTTTAGCTGCAAATTACACTATGTAGAAGGAGCCAAATGTTCCCCTGTCACTCAACCCACTGCTAAAGACGTAAGTTGCTCTTTTTCTACTGTGGTTTGTAAAAAGAGGGGCTATCTTTTATCAGGCCAGATGTCATTGAGGAAAAAAAAGACAGATAAGCTTTTGGGCAGAAGCCCCTTCTTCAGGCCTGAAACAGCAGCAGTATTCTTGAAGGTGAAAACCAGCAGAGAATGACTTATATATTTCATTAGATTATGTAAGCAGGTAGACCATCTGAAAAAAAAAGGGCACTGATATCTGGAGCAAAGGCAGGAAGAGCAGGGGAGGAGATAAAACAGGAGCTCTTCTGGCACACACAAAGAAAGCAATGAGTAATTTACTGCCTGAGGATGGTGAGGGACTGGGAATTGTATCCTGTGCCCTGGTGTCTCTGTCAAGTCCAGGATCATTAGCAGCACTAAGCGTTTTAGGTCCCATGATGTCTTTTGAAGGTATTTTAGCAATGTCCCCTAAGAATCAGGGTTCAAGTGAGGTCTGGATTTATTTCAACTGTGACAGGCTGCTGCAGAAAAGTATGTCCAAAGGGGGAAAAAAGGTCTAGGAATTACTGTCCTTCTGCCTTTCATCTCGACCCTGACTGCTGGGCTAAATCTCACTTATTCTTGGAAAAATACACCTGCCCCAAAAATTAACCACCCCTTTCACAAGTGCAGAAGTGGTGTCTCTGAACATACCCAACTTGATTTACGTGAGGGAGTAATAACAGAAAGAGTCTAATGGCTTCTTAATTATTTGCCCATTTGAAAAGCGTCACTTATTTGGAGAAGGTGCAGCACCCAGTACAGCAAATGAATGTCCATGTCCCAGTGTCACTGCCCTTGTAAGGGGTCTGCAGCCCCTTAGCAGTGTGTGAGCAGGGCTCACATTGTGGCAGTCTGTCCAGATGATGGAGATCATCAGGAGGAGGCAGCAGCTGGAGGTGGTCAGGACAGCAGACACACACACACACACACACACCTGCCAGGCTGCCTATGGAGGTGACACCCGGGCGCTGGTGGGACACAGACAGCAGCGCTTCCCCAGGGTGTCTGGGAGCACTTCTCCTTGGAAAGTCTGTATTTGAAGGGGTAGGTACCATTTCGGAAGAATTTGTGATGGAAAGCTAGAACTTGATTTCACTTAGGAAGACTGTAAAATGCCTTCTCAAACAGGTTAGATGTGGGTTTTTTTCCTTCCTTCTGCATTTCAAAGAAAGTTGCAGGGATAAGCTGTGAGCAATCTCTCTCTCCCTGGTATGCAGAGAGATAACATGTTTGCAGACTTGTACAAGGCCTCCTCGGGCCAGAAAGGGTGGGGGAGGAGAGAGAAAAGATACAAAAAGCCTTGGAGAAGGCGGGGCATTGCCTTTTTCCCTGGGGGCCGGTATGTGCAACATCGTTAACAAGTGGTCCTTGCATCTGAAATAAACCTTTTTTTAATCCTTCCACTGCCTTGGCATTCTTGTTTTACCTTACAGTATTTATGAGCATGCCTATGTAAAATGGGAAACTGGTTTGGAATATGGGGGTGCAAAGATGTTTTATAATACCACAGAAAGAAAAGAGACTAATTCTCTCCCTGGAAAAAAAATTGAGGAAAAAGAGCGGATGCATAGATATGTCCAAAAGCTGTTTCCATCTTGCACCAACTGGCAAAAAGAAAATGTAAATGTGATCGGCCCAGCTCAGTGACTGGGTAATGAGAAATGGGCCAGGGATGAGGCATCCCAGAAACATCACAAGAAGCTAGACAAAAAGAAAAGTGTTACTGAGAGGTTAAAAGATTAGAAGGAAGAGGAAAATTGGTGTTGAAACCCATGAAATGCAAGGACAGGTGATGAGGGAGAGGCACCAGCCCTGCTCTGGCGTGGGGCAGGACTGGCTTCTCTCCGGAGGTCCCTGCCAGCCCTGACCCCTTCTGACTTTGGAAGGATGAAACCCTCTTTCCCATTTTGCAAGTTGAATATGAGTCAGCAGTGCCCTGGCAGCCAGGAGGGCCAACTATGTCCTGGGGGGCATCAGGCAAAGCATCGCCAGCTGGTTGAGTGAGGGGATTCTCTGCTCTGCTCTGCTCTGTACTGGGGCAGTCTCACCTTTAATATTATGTGCAGTTTTGGGCACTGCAATGTAAGAAAGATATTAGGCTGCTAGAGAGGGTCCAAAAGAGGGCAATGAGGATGGTGAAGGGCCTTGAGGGGAAGCCGAATGAGGAGCGGCTGAGGTCACTTGGTCTGTTCAGCCTGGAGGAGACTGAGGGGAGACCTCATTGCAGTCTACAAGTTCCTCACGAGGGGAAGAGGAGGGGCAGGCGCTGATCTCTTCTCTGTGGTGACCAGTGACAGGACCCGAGGGAATGGCCTTGTGTCAGGGGAGGTTTAGGTTGGATATTAGAAAAAGGGTTCTTCACCCAGAGGGTAGTTGGGCACTGGAACAGGCTCCTCAGGGAAGTGGTCACAGCATCAAGCCTGAGACTTCAAGAAGCATTTGAACGATGCTCACAGGCACATGGTGGGATTCTTGGGGATGGTCCTGTGCAGGGCTAAGGGTTGGACTCCGATGATCCTGATGGGTCCCTTCCAACTTAGCATATTCTGTAATTCTATGATTTTTTGCGATGAGGTCTCACAGAGCTCCCTGCCCTCCTTGGCACACCCTGCCAGGCACGGCACCCCTTTTTGGAAGGGTCCTCACCTGCTCCACCACCGCAAGACGCGGCGAAGGATTCGGAGCTCCCCTCGGCGGCACCGAAGCAGAGGTGGG